GGAGAGATGGAGGCCTCCAGAAAGTTTCACTGAGGTTGGCAAAGGCATCGGAGCCAAGCCAGGGAGAGCGAAGTCTCTCTGTGGGGAGGGGGGAGGCACAGCTAAGTGTTTCTGCTTAGCGTTAAGGTTTAATGGCTCACTTTTTGAGGTGCCAGCTCCTTCTTGGCTTCTTTGGGGGTTTTCTTCCTTTCGGGGATCGAGGATGGGGGCGGAGAAGGCTGCCTGGCGGTGGAGTTTCGCCTCTCCCGGCCAATGGAATGCACGGAGGACTCCGAGGTCGTCCGAGAACGTCGCCCCAGGCCCTGTCGTCACATAACAACCAAGTTCAGTTTCTGGCTGACATTTCTGGCGGAAACGTCTTCAACAAAGTCATTAAGAAGGAAGAGGAGGAAGGAGGGGGGGGAAAACGGCGAACAAGCAACGGTGATGAGAAGTGGGTGACGGAGGGAGGAGGGTAGATAAGCGGAGGGAGAAGATTAGATCAGTTTCGGGGGCATACCATGTGGGCCGAAGACTGGGAGGTCGATCGGGACCGTCGGCCTGGGCCCTGGACAGAAACAGAAGTCAAGCACCTGAACAAGCAGCGAAGGCCACACCTGAACCGCCGTGGGCAGCAAAAGTCCCACCAGCTCAAATCCCAGGAGTGGGTTTGTCACGCTGCAAACAACTAAAAACGGGAACAACCGGGAACTCCTGTGCGAATCTTCTTTACTCACCAGACGATTCGGCTCCTCCTGACCTCCAGACTGAAGGGATGCAGGAAGCTGGGGCCCCTGCTTCACCAGAGCCTCTTGCCTTCGCAGCCCCAGGTCCTGCCTGTGGTGCCCGTGCCCCAGGGATAGCCCGAGGCCATCAGCCCCATCGCCACAGCTTTGCAGGCAATGGGTGGCTGACCCAAGAGGACCAGGGACTTCGTTCTGAAGGTGCTCAGAGAAAGGTCACTCTAGAACCGTGATGGCGAACCTGTGGCACCCGGAGCCATTTGTGCCAGTACGGGAGCTGCAGGCAAACTTACCTCACTGAGCATGCGCGCGCCTCCCAGCTGATTTTAGGGCGGTTTGAAGCCTTTTTCAAGCTTCTGGAGGCTTTGCAGGACGAATAATAGGCCTGTTTCGTCACTTCTGGTATTTCCGGAAATACCAGAAGTAACAAAACGGGGCTAGTTTTCAGCCTGCAAAGCCTCCCTCAAGCCTTTCGGAGTCAGCTGGGAGGCGCAGTGCAGATAAGGGGGTGGGTGGGATTGCACACACATGCGTAGGGGATGTGGGGGGCATGCATTGCCTTCTGGCTGCTGGCACGCAAGCGTGAGCATGCAAGCGCGTGCACAATTTTTGGCACAGGAGCCTCAAAAGGTTAGCCACCACGGCTCTAGAACCTCTTCCACACATTTTGGCACTCCGGAACTAACGTGCCTAAATTAAGCCAGAGCACGCAAGGCAGGCTTGGAAACTTCCCACAAGCCCTCAGGCTCCATGTGGCCGCACAATGAAGACCACTAATAAAGGGAGAGGAAAAGAAACTGGCCAATACCATGTTTGCCATCTTCGCGTAGAAGTCTTCTTCTGCAACTGCCTTCCATGCGGGAGGTTCAGCCACCCCTGCGATCATGCAAAGAGGGAAAAAGGGAAGGACAGGTAAACTTTGTTGCTCCCAAATTAGAGAGAAAAGAGCCACCTGCATATGATAGACAGAAGAATGAATGAATGAATGAATGAATGAATGAATGAATGAATGAACGAACGAATCCCCGTGGGCCCCCAGATTCAAGGCTTGGTGATGCAGTGAGGGCAGGTTTATCTAGGACAGGGATGTTGCCATGCCCCTGTTGGAGCCTGAATCCGAGGAGGAAGATGAACAGCTGGCAGGGAGTGGGAGTGTGACTCTGTTGGCTGTGAAGAAAACTGGGGAAGGGCAAAGTCCGGCTGGGCAGAGCAGAGAAGAGGTAGAACAAGGGAGAGGGAGTTCAGAGGAAGATCTATGCCCACCCCCTCTTCATCCTAGGGCACACAGGGAGGAATGGAGAAGGGAGCAATGTGGGGTGCGTGGCTTCTGGGGAGGAAAGGGCCCTGATTCCTTCATTAGCCACAGCTGGGAAGACAATTGATAAGAAAGGCAGGCTGTGTGCGGCAGCTGTTGGGAGCAAACGTGACTTTTGTGATTGCTTATCTGTGTTCCTGGCATCTTCCCAACCGTGTTGAATTACTGCTGTTCCTTCACATCTGGAATTCCTTCTCCTGCCCTGCCGGACTCATTATCCTGCCTTGATTGGACTTATAGTTGCAGTTTTTGTTGACCACGTTTTGGACTTGATTCTCTGCAGCCAAAGGCTGTTCCTGGGAGAGCTTTTCTCCAGCCAGGAGGTAACCAGGACATTGGGGGCAAAGTTGGAGCTAATAAAGGGACTCCACTGATTATCTGACTGGGTTGCCTTTGTGCCACGCCCCTTTGGGTCATCACAAGTGTCAAACTCAATTTCATTGAGGGTCGCATCAGGACTGTGGTTGACCTCGGGGTAGCGGGTGGATGTGGCCGACTGGGTAGGTGAGGCCACCTTGATGCCACTCACTGGGCAACTGAGTGGGCATGGCCAGCTTGACACCACTCCCCAAACTGCTGGCATGTTTCCTCTTCGCATTGGGTAGACCAGGCCGAAGCGACTCAGGCCGGCCCCTTACATTTTCCAGGATGGGGGCTAGATTAGACCTAATCGCGGGCTGGATGTGGTTCATGGGCCTGGTGTTTGACACCCGATTTAGGAGCTACTCCCAGCTAATCCCTCTAGTTATCTATCTGAGATGGGAACTACAATTAGAGGGAATCTCTAAGGGCAACCAAGGGCAAGGACATATCTGAAGTGAAGCTTCTCTGCTGAATTCCCCAAGGAAGATGGGATCCTAAAGGTGCTTTTTTCAATGGGAAAAGCCCTGAATGGATCCTTTCCTCTCTCTCACTCTCCACGCGGCAATTTCCTAGAAATTTTGTAGAGAAACTGCAGGCTCTGCTGGGCTCCCCTGCTGCAGTATGGGGCAGGGAAGGGAGTTTGCCGGCTGATTTCTCCCCCACCCGTTCCCCACCCAGGCAAACCTGCTTCATGCTGGGTCCCCTCATGTGGCTGCAGCTCAGGGCCTTGAGGAGGTAGACCTGCTGGCAGCGCCGCTGGCCCCCTGTACATGGGGTTCATCTCGGCTCCATAGGGGTTCAGAGAGCCAGGTGCTGGGCCCATAGAGGCAGGTACCATGGAGTAGAAAGGAACAGCAGCGGCAGGTTCCTGTTGGGAAGTTGGGGTCAGAGCCACGGCGCCGTCCAGGATGGTAGGAGGAGCTAGAGAAAGGATGGAAAGAGAACGGCCTTTACATCCCATAATAAAGCAAGAGTCCAGGATGACCCTGACTGTTCCTTTAGGGTCCTGCACACGAGCAGGAGGGCTCTGGAAGGCAGCCAGGGAACGCTGCAGGCCACCCTCTGCGATGGCCACAGCTGGCTTCAGAGCAGCCGGCATCCTTCATTCACACAGACGGTTGCTTGGCCACCATCAAGAGGGGTTGGTGGCGCAGTGGTTAGAGTGCTGTGCTGCAGGCCACTTCTGCTGACTGCATGCAATTTGGAAGTTCAAATCCCACCAGACTCAAGGTTGACTGAGCCTTCCATCCTTCCGAGGTTGGTAAAAAGAGGACCCAGATGGTTGGGGGAAAGAGGCTGACTCTATAAACCCCTTAGAGAGGGCTGAAAAAAGCACTGTGAAGTGGTATATAAGTCTAAGAACTATTGCTATCTATCTATCTATCTATCTATCTATCTATCTATCTATCATCTATCTATCTATCTATCTATCTATCTATCTATCTATCTATCTATCTATCTATCTGCTGTGGTGGCACAGTGGTGAGAATGCAGTATTGCAGGCTAACTCTGCCTACTGCCAGCAGTTCAATGCTGACCAGCTCAAGGTTGACTTAGCCTTCCGTTCTTCTGAGGTCAGTAAAATGAGACCCCAGATTGTTGGGGCCAAGAGGCTGGCTCTGTAAACCACATAAGAGAGGCCTGTAAATATAAGTCTAAGGGCCATTGCTAACAAAGGAGCAAGCGGGATGCTTCCCAACAAATGGGTAGCCCCTACATAGCTGCCCGGCTTCCCACAAGGCTGCCGGGCATTCGATTCCCCGGGTGCCATGCTTTCACGCCAGGAAGGGAAGCCTCCCTTAAGCCATGCACTCACCTGAAGGCATCAACTGGACACTCTGCCCGGGCTGGACCATGTTGGGCAGCAGGGAGGCCAACAACGGGTTGTTGGAGCCCACTTCCAGGCTGCCTCCCAGGCTTTCGTTCTGACTGGTGTGGTCGTGCTCTGAGCTTGGCGTGCTGGAGGAATACTGCTGGGGTGTGACTCTCCCTAGGCCGTAACCGAAGGAGCCCTCCTGGAACGAGACGGATGCCAACGGACGCTTTCAGCGAAGACCAGCCATTCAATGCCACGGTCTAGTTCCAGGCACGCACGCACATGCATGCACACACACACACACACACACACACACACACACGGTATTGCAAGGCGCTTGGGAATTAAAGTAGGGGATTTATACATTTCCAGTCTAGCTGACCTAAGCTCTTTATTCCTGGAAGAAGTTGGAAAAAGTCTTGGGAAAAGTTCAGAGAAGAGCAACTAAGATGGATCAAAGGCCTGGAGACTCAAATATAGGATGAAGAGCTGCAGGATTTGGGTCTGGCCGGTCTAGAGGAAAGAAGGACTGGGGGGGGGGACAGGATAGCAGCCTTCCAGTACTTGATGGGCTGCCATATAAAAGAGGGGGACAAACTATTCTCCAAAGCATCAGAGGGCAGGACAAGAAGCAATGGGTGGAAACTAAACAAGGAGAGAAGCAACCTGGAATTAAGGAGAAACTTCCTCACTGTGAGGACAATGAACCAGTGGAATGGCTGGCCTCCAGAAATCCTGGGCACTCCAAACCTCACTGGACGTGTTCAAGAAGAGACTGGACAGTCACTTGTCTGAGATGGTATAGATCCTCCTGCTTGAGCAGGGGGCTGGACTAGAAGACCTCCAAGGTCCCTTCCAGCTCTATTCTATTCTATTCTATTCTATTCTATTCTATTCTATTCTTATTTCTATTCTATTCTATTCTATT